AGGCTCTAGGCTTTTATATATATATATATATATATATATATATGTAATGGATGAATACTTCTTTCTCACGAGATAAGATATTTTGGTCAGTATGTGTTCTCCAATTATGCTTTGATTGTTGTAAGATTTAAATTCTTTTACTTGCTTGACCTATAGGGATGCTGAAGACCATATTGCATGGCTTCTTCAACATGGTTGGCATGAAAAAGCTTTGGCAGCAGTTGAGGCTGGTCAGGGAAGGAGTGAACTCCTTGATGAGGTTATTTTCCATATACTTAAAAGAACTGATTTGAAGACATGTGATCAAGCTAGTTTGCAGCCTCCCTTTTTTTTCTTGTCTTTTTCTGGGGCTGGGGTTTTTCTCATATTGATAAGAATGCTTATAATTTGTTGCAGTATGGCAGCGCTTGTATTCTATTTAGCTGCATTTCCTTTGTCATTGTATAACTGTTGGGAAATGTCACGGTTGTGCATATGTAAAATGTTTAATTGATGAGTGATTTGACAATCGGTACTGGTACAACATGGCTTGAGTGTTTAATGCCTTCCACCATTCCCTCCTGTTGTTCATGTTTATTGGGAAATTCTGTACGTTACTTTTCTTACTTTTTCTCCACTGTATATGTAGGTGGGATCTAGATACCTTGATCACTTGATTGTGGAAAGGAAATATGCTGAAGCTGCATCGTTATGTCCCAAATTGTTGCGAGGGTCTGCTTCAGCATGGGAGAGGTATTGCCACATCGATGCTACTTTCTCTTGTTCTCTTATATGTCATTATTTGGGACTGTTTTTATTCATTTGCTCTTAATCACTGAGTGGCATTGCTCTCGACAGATGGGTTTTCCATTTTGCTCATCTTCGCCAACTTCCTGTATTGGTTCCATATATACCAACAGAAAACCCAAGACTGCGTGATACTGCTTATGAGGTTTGTGAGGGAAACAATTGCATGCAACTATTACTATAGTCCTTTAGTGTCTTTTCATCAGTGCCAGTTTGAGGATCAATTTCTTTTATTTATTATGCTGCAGGTTGCTCTTGTGGCCCTCGCAACAAATCCATCTTTCCATAAAGATCTTCTGTCAACTGTTAAAACTTGGCCACCTGTTATTTATTCTGCATTGCCTGTTATTTCTGCCATAGAGCCTCAGTTAAATACTTCATCAATGACTGAAGCCCTTAAAGAGGTTAGTCAGGAACAACTGTCATATGCAATCTGGATCTGCTTATTGCAATGCTTTATAAAGTTTTCATCCTTCCTCTCCTGATAGGCCCTGGCAGAGTTGTATGTGATTGATGGGCAATATGAGAAAGCTTTTTCACTATATGCTGATGTAAGTGTTTAGATGTAAATTTGTGCTCAGGAAACACTTTTCCAATCTTAGAATTTCCATCTATGAAAAATACTTCTGGGAAACTATGATTTGCATCTATATTGGGACTACTTTGATGTTCTATTATTTAATGTAGTTTACTTGTCTTAATTATTCCAGCTAATGAAGCCAGATATATTTGACTTCATTGAAAAGCACAACTTACAGGATTCCATTCGTGAAAAGGTATGATAACACAAGATGAGTGAAATCTGTAAGTTACTTGGCATTATTGTATGTGATCAATTCTTAGAAACAAATTGATAACATTCTTATATGAGGTCAACCTTTAGGCTGATGCACAATTATCACATAATAACTGTTCTGCTCCTTTGTGTTACACATGTCATGAAGGTGGTCCAGCTGATGATGCTAGATTGTAAGCATGCAGTTTCCTTGTTGATTCAAAACAGGGACGTAATAACACCATCTGAAGTTGTTTCACAACTCTTGAGTGCCAACAATAAGTGTGATTCAAGATATTTCTTGCATTTGTATCTGCATTCACTATTTGAAATGAACCCACATGCTGGAAAGGATTTTCACGATACACAGGTATGGAAAGACTGAGCTGTACATTAGTCTTTTAATAATATTTTGGTAAATGTTATAGGCTTCCTTCAGTTTGAAAATTACTGTTAAGGACTTCCTTCCTCTTGCTGCATCTTTTCCTCTTTGTTTCGAAGGATATAAGTTATCACATATGATCTCAATTTTCTCTAGCATTGCAACTTTCATTGGCTTATTGCTGTTCGACTGAATGCACACTTCCACTTGCATGCCAGTGCGATTTGTTATATGTGCAGGGTTCTTGGTCTTTTGGCCTGTGCATTGTCTAACAATTGTATTGTCCTTTGTATCTTATGATAGGTTGAGCTTTATGCTGACTATGATCCAAAGATGCTACTTCCTTTTCTTCGCAGTAGTCAGCATTATACACTTGAGAAGGTTTGTACAGCTTATGAATTCTTGGTATGGTTATTTCTGTGTTACTAACATATAGTTACCCTTTGAAACTAAATCTCAGGCATATGAAATTTGTGTAAGACGAGATCTTTTAAAGGAGCAAGTATTCATCCTTGGAAGAATGGGGAACTCAAGACTAGCTCTTGCTGTCATCATAAATAAATTAGGAGATATTCAAGAGGTATGGTTCTGCACGTGTTCCAGCTGTTGTTTGATGGATTTTATTTGTTTTCAGTAATTTTGCAAAAATGTTAGTCATGATAAATGTGTGTTATAATTGTGTACAGGCTGTAGAGTTTGTGAGTATGCAACATGATGACGACCTTTGGGAAGAATTGATTAAGCAATGCCTTAATAAACCTGAAATGGTAATGATACCTTATGCAGACTCAAAAGACATACTTGCTTCTCTGATAGTTGTGTCATATTTAATTCGTCATTTTGTGAGGTCTTCTCAGTATTCTCTCACCAATTGGCAGGTTGGAGTCTTGTTGGAACACACAGTTGGGAATCTTGATCCTCTCTATATTGTAAACATGTTGCCCAATGGCCTGGAGATACCTCGGTACTGTTCACTCATTTCTAGGGGAAGTTTGGTTTTGCAAATTGGAATTTAATCATTTTCATCTTTTAAGGAACAGAAAAGAGAAAAAAGAAATCTGGATAATATCAAACACCAGCAAGGTTTTGTTTTCAGTAGAGGCTCACTGTCGATTTTAATTTTTTCTGATGATTAAGTTTCAAGGTGGTCATTCATATACAAGAAAGGCCAAATTTAGCTGGGGATTATTTTTTAAATCGAATGCTTTATGAACACTTCAGCAGTATGTGCCAATGCTCAAGCAGAATAGCTTTGAGGTTTAACACTAGTAGCAAGCTGGCAGTAATGGGATGATTTTGAATTTTTTTTCCCTTAATAATAACAATTCCTATAACAAAATATAAATATCTATCTATATCCTCGCTATTACTATTAGAATCATGATAAATTTACTTTGAAGTCTTCTATTTTATTTACAGGCTCAGGGATCGTTTAGTCAAAATTATTACCGATTACAGAACAGAAACGTCTCTTAGAAATGGGTGTAATGACATTCTCAAGGTACCGTTAAGATTAACATGTACTGTTGCGCTTCATTTATAAAAATGTAAAAAAGCTTGATTTGTTTTATAAATGTGAAACTTGCAGGCTGATTGTGTTAACCTATTGGTTAAATACTACAAAGAAGCAAGACGTGCAGTTTGCTTGAGCAATGAAGAAGATGATTCTCGATCAAAAAGGGATGGGGGTAGGACTTCTCAGGCAACAGAGAAAGCACCTAGCATGAGAACCATGGAGGTGAAGTCAAAAACCAGGGGAGGTGCAAGATGTTGCATGTGTTTTGATCCTTTCTCTATACAAAATGTATCAGTCATTGTGTTCTTTTGCTGTCATGCTTATCACACTACTTGCCTTATGGATGCTGCTTATACTAGCAACAACAATGGCAAGAAAGGTGCTGGAGCCACTTCTCGTCAGCTAGAGTTAAACTATGCATATGATAATGGTGCTGAGGACGAAGAAGAAGAAGATGAAGATGAAGATGAGGATAACCATTCAGGCAGGACTCGTATGCGATGTATCTTATGTACTACAGCTTCAAGTTAAGTTCTTGAGTTTTCAATGCGGCTTCTTTGTGTGCATGTGCGAGGTGTGTGTGCAGGCATGCGTTTAACCTGAATCCGTTCTCCTTTTCTTTTCCATTTACAATGTTTTTTCATTCTGGGCTGAGGTTGTTTCCCAGCCTCATTTAGTTTTGCTTCATCTTTTTAGCATCTCATGATAGGTTGAATTGTACTAGCAAGTATTGATCTGGGGTCTTTTGCCCCATCTCTTAAATGTCGTGCTTCAAATGGTGGCAACTTTTGTATTATAGTCTATGTAATTATCACCAAAAGCATAATCAATTTTTTGAGAGGAAAGTATAATCATTCTTTTCTGCAGTTATTATTTATTTTATGTTGCAGTTAAAGCTTTGATAGTGAAATACGGATTATGGACAACTAAAATAGGTTCTGTTCGTGTTT